ATAAAAGGCCTGAATGAAAGAGGAGAAAAGGAGAAAAAACTGAAAGCCTTCTGAACTGACCAAGTGGATACCTTATTTGCATGACCTCTTCTTGATGGCTGAGAAAACAGTAATAGAGATCAAAACCTGCCTGTCTGACAGCTCCTCAGTGTCAGTGACTCCAGGAACTTTACAGAATCATAGAAACAAGAGAAGTAGAGGCCTGTAAATTACTTAAAGCATCAACCAGACAGCATTAGACTATCCCCTGCTGTATCAGAAAGCAAGAACACTCCTATGTTTGTAATACCAGTTTCTTCAACACTCAATTTTCAGCAGCACACAACAAATTGCTGTTTTCTTCACTTAATTTATGCCAACTCTACAAATGAAAGAGCCTTAAGTTCATGTAATGCAATTTCATTTCTTGATATATTTGATAATCAATTTAACCTGCTCTATTGAACACTAAGTGACTGATTTGCATTTGTCACCTTGGACTCCTTTTCCTTTTTACTCCAGAATCTGTTTGACCAAGCAGGATAGGCTCCCATTGGCACTTGTTAAAAAAACAACTATCATTCCAGCACCAGTGTTAGCCTTAGGGGAAAAAAGACTGACTTGGGGCATGAAAGCAGCACATCACACCTGCCTGAAACTGCCTCCATCACGAGAGTATGGGTCCAGCACAGGATCCATAAAGTAGGAATCCAGTGAAGATTCCTAAAGAGATGTAGGAGATTTTAGGAAAGTTTCTCATTTTATCTCTGAGCAAGGGGATGCCATCCTCAGATCAAACACCAAATACTGCCCAAGCAGCAACAAAAACCTTGAAGCCTTATGAAAGGCAGGGGGCATTAAGAAAAACAAAACTCTCTTCTCATCTGCTCAAAAAGAAGGAAAGAATACAAGGTAAACTCAAGCACTGCTAACTGGATATTAATGGTGCCATGGATATAAAACATACCAATTTTTGGATGAGATGTTGGCAGGGCGGCTTCAGGGAAAGGTGAAATCTGACAGTTGTCCTGGTAACTTGGATAGTGAGGTTCTGGGTGACTGACCCGGCAGGGCTGCTGGACATTGGTGTCCTGGACTGCAAAGGAACAAAAGCACCGTAAACCGCAGCACTCACATATATATTAGGCTTCTCCCATCCAGATTTTTTATATTTATATGAGCTCTTAAACTCTGTGAAAATCCCAAGGGTTGCCAAAGAGAAACACAATGGTATGATTTTGCACCACCAGCAAGCAAGGTAACTTTGCACGGTGATTTCATCTCTCTCTGTTCCCACTTTTAAAGGCTTTGGCAAAGATTACTCCCTGTTTCCTCCTCTCAAGCCTGTATATTTACACTGATGACTCCAAATTATATTTTCGGGGGAGATTAATTCCTTCAGCTGCTGATCAGCCTTTCCAGCAGAACACATAATGATGCATCATTTGCCAGACAGAAGTCTGGTGTGATCTTCACGGGACTGAAGTCAAAATAAGCCGGGTGAACCATGACCTGAAGAGCAGTGATCTCAGCTGGTGCTCATGAGTAACTGTGGGAAGGTGGTGAACTGCTGTATTAAGCATCACTAAAAGTAATATCTGAATTAAACTGGAAGAACAGAAAAGGAGCATTTCGATTTACTTGTTCGATTTCCTTTGGACATCAGCATCTGGAGAAACTTCTAACTTCTTTTGTGCAGCTGTAAGATTTCGAGCTGCTGAAATCATTTCCAAGCAATGGTATGTAGAGCCTCTGTCTAAGCTCTTGAGAACCAAATCCGTCCTGCAGCATTCCAAACATTTCTTCCCTTTGCAGTGCAGGTCGAAACCCCTCCTTTTATTTATTTTTTTTTTTTTACAGTTTTTCAAGATGTGAAGCAAACACATGCCCAAAAACTTACCGGCGGCTCCAGTGAAAACGTCACCCTGGGATGGACTTTCCGAGATGATTGCTGTGGCTTCCACTGTCGACGCACGGTCGAAAGTCAGAGCACCAGAGGTAGTGATCTGTCCAGAAGGAGTCACGGTGACTGGAAACAGCAGAAGCACTTTCATAATCAACACTCGGCTCTGAGGCCTTGGTTATTTAGCTACTGATATCCCTGTTCTGATTCGTCCTAAATCACAGAATTCACAGGTCAGGAAACGACCTGTGCTATCCAAGTTCGGATATCCATAATATTGAAAATAGGAAGGAAAAGCTTTGCATTCTTTGGAGGATTTTGGCAGCTTCCTCCTCAATTCATTTTACAATGTTACTGTCCAGCTGATGCTAGTTGATAAAACCAAAAGGGGCCCATGAATGTGACTGGGAACATGTGAGATGGACTGGCTTGCAAATTAATTTCTGTTCTCAACAGATGGTTGGACAATCAAAAACATTAAGAGACAGCACGTGTGCTGAATGTGAGAGAGGCATCTGCAGATGAAAGTTCTGCCTCTTTCAGTTATGAGTTTGAGGCTGTGGATAGGATTTCAACAGCTCAGAGACTGCTTTCCAGCATGTTTAAAGCAGCAGCACACATTTTACTACATGGTGGGGAAAGGTCTTTTGTGAAAAAACCTGCCAAAAGATATGACAGATAAAAGCCAGGACTCCTAACCTTCCCCTGCACTGTCAGACCAAGAGATAAACTAGAAGGGGGAAAGTTAATCCACAGCTCTCTCATGAAACCTTACATTCCCTGGGAAAGTGCACAAAGAGGCTTAAAAAATAGTTTCCTGAAGCCAGGTCAGTAAACCTGCCTATTTGTAATCCAGATGGTGGCAACACTCTGCTAGTTTCTAAAAATGGGAAGTGAAACTGGATAAAGAGACTGAGCCAATAAAACTAGTCAATGAAAAGGAATGCCCATGAAAGCAAGCAAATTGTTTCAGCTGGCTGATTGCACAGGGCTGCTGATACACATAAAACACCTAGTTTGACAATTTCTCAAAACAGGGAAGCAGGTTTTACCAGCAGAAAACAACCTACATGTGGTAGCAGCTGTAGCAGGGAGCAGGGTTATATTTTTGGAGCAATCCTTTTTCACTGGAGTTGCAGGCACTTCGTTTTCTTTTTTCCGCCTTTTGTAGGGTACAAAGAGTCGTACAGGGCCACTCTATCACAGAGACATAAAACACACATTGGCAGAGCACTTCTTTGGGCTTATGGGTCTACAATCTTTCCACATACAGCTGAGAGTAGTGTCAAGCAGCAGCTATTCCCAGGGAATAGCTGATTTGCTACAATTGATCAGAGAGCCCTTTAAACCGCAGCTCCAAACCCAAAGAATCCTGTGAAAAAACAATAATTTAAGACTTTACAGTCTTTAAGACATACTGTAACAATTAATACCTGATAGTGTCCCTGTAGTGTCAGCTTTATAGATATTCAAAATGGATATCACTCACATCAGCAAGCAGAATATTCTAAAATTACTTGTGTGCTTGCCTGAATATTTCTTTATCAAAACAGCTATTCTAAATTCTCACACTGGGCTCGCCTCCAGCTATAAAGGCACAAGTTTTGCTGTTTCCCACTATTATTTGAAGGAGCAGAACTGAGCAAATAATTATTTTCTGGCCAGGAGGGTGGAAGAAAAGACAACAGGAGTGAAGAGAGGACAGGAAGCAATTAGTTTCAGATCTAGGCAACACTTCAGCCACCTACTTCACAGGTGAGAAGGGCTGTAAGACAGTACTCCAGGTGCAGCTAAACACCTCTGATTTCAGGACCTTACCCTCACTTTTGAGAAACAAAAATGAAAATATTTTAGTATGACAATATTAAAACCCCACTTTCTTATATAAACTTGCTTTTTTCCAGCTCAAAATACTTGTGGAATTTGAGTCCAATAAAATCACAAACAGCTCTGATATCCCAGAAATGGCATTTTATACAAATAAAAGGCAAAAAAAAAAAAGACTGAGGGGGAAGCAGCATTTGGAATCACCCATTTTACTGAGGAGCAGTTAAGAACATTGGAGGCTGCCTATGCAACAGGACTAGCAAGCAGTTCTTTCCTTATTTTCTTCTTTTATGCAACATGGACAAAATATGCTGCCTCCACAATACTTGTGAGCACTCCCATAATGTTCATGACCCGCTGATAGATTCCTGGGCAGCTTGACTGCTTAATTTTTTTTAAAAATAACTAGTATAAACCTACAACTCACCAGAGTCATGTCGTCGCAGCAGGCAGCACAAGTACAAGAGGCAGCATGAGGATTTAAAATCCCATCCTGAAACAGGAAGATTATAAATTCAGCACAGAGCAATGGTGATTAGCAAACACTAAAAATACTGTGAGCATGACTGTATGCTCCTAAAAAAATCAGACAGCTCCCTTCACGACATATCTATTCCTCACTCGGGACTTCATCCAGTAATAGAAAGCATGTGGAGAGGAGGAGAGAAGGAAGAACAAACAATTTTAAAATCAGAAAGCAAGAACATGTGGATTTTTTGAGACTTTACAAAGCTTTTGCCCAAGAGAATTCACTGTCAGCCTAATGGAAATGCCACACTCTCTGTCAGGCACCTGAACACTGCAGGAAATAAAGCAGTCAAGTAATAATAAATGGCACAAATGAAGAATATGTTTGTCAAGCAAACAGAATTAAGCAGCTCAGGTTACTGAATTACAGTATCACGGGCAGAGCACACGCTTTCCAATTGCTGCTGTGCAGAGCTGAAGGCTGGACTTCCTGCCACATAAACTGCAGCCCATTTTTCCATTTTTCTACTTGCAAAATGTGAGTACGTTTTGCAAAATGCTATTTTAAAAAGAAAAAAAAAATCTAGAAAAATTTCTCTCACATCACCGAATCTCAAGCAAATCAGACAGCCCCACTGCACTGCCACACATAACTCTGCAGAGGCAGCACATGTGGCTCTGGCCGTGGCACTGGGCAGCTCGGGTGCTACCCACCCCTTCCTGCAAAATGTAGGAGACAAGTTTATCCTCACGTGAATAAGGCACTGCAGTGGCCTCCCAGCATAGCGGATGCTTCTTTTCCAGTCTTTACTGCTGGCTCGTCCTGCCATGGCTTCAAATTCCGTGGGGCTGTACCAGTTATCCCCCTGCTTAATGCACCTCCCACGGCCTCCTGAATAAAGTTAGAAAAGAAGAAATTGGTAATAAGGGTTAAGACGATTTTGTCGCTCCCCTAAAGAAGCAGGCACTGAGGCTGCTGGATAGAACAGCAATTAATCCAATGCGACTATGAAATCAAGCTATCCTGCTACTTATCGACTTAGGTAAACTCTGCCAATTCTTACGTTAGCTGTTACAATGACTGAGCATGTTTAGCAAGTTCCAGCTTCATGCCTCACTGTCAACAGGCTAGAAAAAGATGACTCATCCACAGGAAGGATGAATGGAGAAACACCGTAGGTTTTATTTCTTCCTTAATTTTCACTTAAATTTCTAATCCTTCTGGTTATGAAGGAAACGCTCCGTGCATGAACCAGACGTTGTGCTATGAACTCAGACTTGCTGACAATTTTTGCTGTTTCTTCAGCTTTCTCACAGAGATACAAAGAGAAAGAGAGAGGCTAAGACAACTAACAAGTCCCCTTAGGAGGCGAACTATCTACTTTTCTACTTTCCAGGCCAACAGGGATTCTGCAGATCTTTGTAGAAATGCGGGTCTATTCTAAGAGGTCTACAAAAGAAAAATACAAAAAGACAGCCTATTATCTGGAAGATTTACTGCACAGCAGCCCATATCTTCACAAATTTAAGGAAAAAGAAAGTCACAAAGTCTCCAAGGAAAGAGCAAGGAAGCAAGAGGGCAAAACGCAGGACACTGATACCCAAATGGACTAGGTGGTCCTTTTTTTTTTCTTCAGGAAAAGCATCCATTTTTTTTCTTCTTAAAAGCATCCTGCTTAAAACAAAAATGTACCAAGAGAAAGAGGAGTCATCACCCTTCGAGCAAGGTGGTCATTTTTACCTGAGCCGAGTCTGTTTTTATACAGAATCCCACTGATATTCCGGCACCTCACTGGGAGCTCGTTGTTGTACACTGATGGGTCCCAGTTATACTTCGTTCCAGTCTTCTCTTGGGTGGACGTTAAAGGGGTGGGAGGAGACTGCGGTCCTTTGGGAAAAGAAAAAGGTGACAGCAACCAAAAGGCACTCCAAATATACATTCAGACAAGGCACTCCGAATATACATTCATATACATTCATATACATTCAGACTTTCTTCTTGGCTTGGCCAACAGCATCACGAGGTTAATTCAAGCGGCTGACAGCTGCTCACAGCAACACAAGTTACACCACAGATAATTCAGTTTGGAACCCATGAGCCCGCTCTGCCTGGCTCAAGCAGTCTTGCTGTGATGTAACGCTATAAAAGTGACTGAAAAATGAAGCATATTGCGTGCCAGAAAACGCTATATTAGCTGCATAGGTTGTAACCCACACTGGCTTAAAACTGTGGCTGGATCTTACACTTCCCAGAGGATGCCACTGTCATGACATGGTTTAGCAGGCAGGGTGGTGATGGGTTTACGGTGGGTCTTGAAGGTCCAAGCACAATGATTCTAGGATTCTGTGAGTCTGTGTGTCTCATTGCTAAAGGGCTGCCATGCCATCTTGTGGGCAGCAAGGAAAATGCCAAGCAGAAGGAAATCCTAGCAAGGACTTTTGCTAAAATGACCCTTAAATATCAGCAAAAGGCCCAAAGAGAGACACAGTCATGTTCGAAGACCCCCTGAAAAGGACCCATATAGAGAACTAGGCCATTTGCATTATCAAGATTAGTGACTGACCTGCCTTTGGGAGTGGGACACATATAGAAAGCAATGTGACAGCCCAGCAGGAGCTTAAGATTTTTCAAGAAGTGTATTTGCAAGGGGTACAGCAAACGAGGAAGTAAAATATGTTTTCATAGAAAAAAAAAGGTATATATTCTTTGCCTAGTTCCAAGAAATACAAATGCACCATGTTAAGGGGGGACAAATGTCACTTAAAATGCAATTCTGTACTTTATGCGCGGGACTTCTTATTCCACTTTATGCACATGACTTGTTCCCAGCAACACGATCAAGGTGAAGAGAAAACTAAACTTTCTGGAAAATGAGACTTCAAAAACAGACTTTCTTATACCTGGTGTGAGAGGTGCTGATGGCCCCTTCAGCCCTGTGGTTTCTACAATGCTGCCATCTGTGTGAACCACTATGAGAGTGGCTTTCTCAGTGTTCAAGCTGTCCCCAATTTGGAGGGCTGTTCTCCCGGACTACAGAAGAAACAAAGAGTTTGAACTGACAGAATTAAAATACCAACGTATTTAAGCACTCCCCCCAAATCTTCTCAAAGCTGTCCTACAGCAGCAAAGCGTGGCAGCCATTAGTTCATTTTTTGAGATTTCAGCCAGCCAAGCTCAAAGGTTACATGTTTCATTAGCACCGTTACAGAGCGAGTCTATGGGGGAGGAAAGATAAAGCCAAACATTCAAAGTGATAAAGAGAAACCTGAATGTGCAACCACTGATTTTTGGGGGGGCTGAGCCCCTTTATACTGCAGTAAAAAAGATATTGCTGACCTTTCTACAGCTTGAACGCAAACCAAGATTTTCATTTACATTACAAGAAGGTATGGGGCTTCTCTAAGGTCCTCAAATGAAGGGACAGACTTACCAGCACATGCCCTGAAATTGAAGCTGCGTTTGCCACAGATGTAGTGAAAACATTGTCTGCAGAGGCACCCACGTTAGCTACTGTCACTGTGGTGACTTCTGGAAGATAAAACAGCAATCAGTCGAATATTCTGCTTCATCCAAAGAACCTGATAAAGACCATAAATGTCAAAAAAAAAAGTAATTACATTTCCTTCCTCTTTCCTGTTCAATATCAATTCTATTTTCGTGTAATATGGAACTGCTGGAAAAGCTAGTTATTATCAAATGTCAGAATCGCATTGGGCTGAACATGCTTCACCCTCAGGACCACAACAGTAGTCACCAACGTGTATTGAACTATTGGAAAAATGAATATTCTATCTGCACTAGAAAAAAAAATCAATAATAAAGATGCTGAATATAGGGAGGTGACTGACAAGCATCAGGATAAGGGAAGAGAGAACCACCCATCTTCCTGTACGCGCATATTAACTTCTTGGGGCCGTTATCCATACGCTTGTTCCAGCTAAAATCACCCACAATTATATCCAAATGTTTCTATGGTGCTTAGCGTAACACATGTCACCTTAGCTAAAATTAGGGATTTTTTTTTTCCATTACCACAAAGAGTGCTAGAGGGAGATACATGGAGAGAAATATCCTGCTATTACAGGTAGGGTTGTTTTTCACCTTTCCTTTCTTGTTTTGTGTACCAGATCCTATCTTTAAAATTTTGAAAGGGTACTTTTTTTAAAAAAAAAAAAAAGTCTGCGTAAGAGGTGAAAATATTTTCAGATAAAAAAAAGGCAAAACCAAAAAAAAAAAAAAAAAACCAACAAATTTGGGCGCATTAACGTGCGGGGCGACGTTAGGCGAGTAACGGCCGCCGGGAGGCGGGGGGGAGGGAGCTGCGCACGCGCACTCCCTGCCCGCCCTGACCTGCGAAGGCGGCGGCGGCCTCGTCGGCGCTCGGCAGCGACTCGGCTCCCATCTCGATGTGTTCGGCCTCTGCCGCCATCACGGTCACGGCCGTCACCTGCGCCCCCTCCTTCTCCT